AATGTTGCTCACCCAAAGAAAATAATTGTGATCAGTGAGAACTGAATTAGCCAATGATTTTAGAGCATGAAGCACGTTGAAACTATAGAAAAAAGAAACAAGTAAAATATTTTCTTGAATACAAGTTTCCTATTGAGCAGCTACTTTCCCAAACAAGTTTATTTGGATTACAAAAGTCTTTTATTTTTGAAAGTAAATACAGGAAAAAAATTTTCTCAAGAAAAGCAAATAACTTAGCATTCTGGCAACGGTTTTTAAGTACAACATACATGTTTTTCAACTCCAAACTCAATTTAAGATTTCCGACGAAGACCAATGGAAGTGAACAGATTTTATCATAAAGCTGCTCAATAGGAATCTTGTGAGAAGGAGAAACTAGGTTTTCATGAGCAAATAAGTGGCTTCTGCAAAATAAAATTTAGTGTAATGATTATATCCTGCTGTCTGACTTCTTTAGTGGTACATCAATGCCTGTACATATATCAAAAAGTGTAACTTCAATTTCTTTAAAGGAACTGAAATAAATTGTCCTTAGAACTCAATAGGAATATTTTTAGCTTTGCATTTAAGAGCATCCTAGAATTTAAAAATGAGAATTTTTAATGAGCACTCAAAATGTCTGTACACGTGTAAAAAATAAATAAAATGGCAAATGAATTTTGACTTTATTTTCTCACAATGGAGGCTTTGGACAAACAATTAAGAATAAAAATTGGCGATAATGACTTTGAATGACCTTTTGATGACTCATTCATCATTTTCAAATTCGTAAAACTAAAAGTCATATTCTTGTGAGTTCTTTACATATTGAGAATGCATGTGAAAGTCTTGTTGCATCTGATTAAAAACACTACAATGTGGAATGTAGAGAGTATTAATTAAGAACTAAATAGTTTTGCTTTGATTGAATTAGATTGAGTGTTCAGTTTAGGTTTCTTTTCTAATATAAAGAGCGTTTCATAAATTAGTTCTAATTGAATGATGAATTGATTAATTTTGGTTTATTTTCTGCATGGGTTTTTGAAATTTTTGTCCGTTTCTGAATTCAACAATAATAGTTGCGAAAATTTACTTTTTAAGGCAATTTTGAACAAAATGTCGGCTCTTTTTGTTTTATGTCTTTACGCATGAAAATACAACAAGAATTACCAAACTTTTAATTCACAGAAACAGATTTACCCATAACTGAGTTTCAGTTAATTTTTAGCGATTGCTATTGGCATAATTCCTGGCTCCGATATAATGAACTGTATGGAAAATGTGACAAGCAAGCCACTTATTTGCAAATGAACGACACCCACACAACACACTAGTCAGTTCAATACTCTGTTTACATGGGTACTAGTTACATGTGCATCAACGTGGTATTGAAATACAATGTTGAATTTAAAGGTTGGTAATTGCTATTTCAGTTAGCTGCATATCCTGGGATTTTTATCTTAACTATTAATGGAGTTATTGAGTGATTGATTGATTAAATGATTGGTTGGTTGGTTGGTTGGTTGGTTGGTTGGTTGGTTGATTGATTGATTGATTCACTTGGGAATTTCCCTTTACCTATGATTAAAAAAGGATCTATGAAAGAGACAGAAAATAAATAAAGCTTCTTTCCAATTTGCTCATTAACTAAAATGACAGGTGCAAAGGAGACCACGAAACCACATGTGCACGTGTAACTAGCAAATAAACAGAGAGTAATAAATTGGTATTACAAATGCTTACCTTGAGTAATTAATCAAAGAATTTTTCATCTCAGTTGGCCCACCGCAATGTGTCACCAATTTTGTTAATTGGAATTTAGAAATATTGGTTTTTCAGGAGTGAGGGAAACCGGAGTACCCGGAGAAAAACCCTCGGGGCAAGGTGCACTGTGCCGACTCTGCTGCTGGTAATATCTCATATACCTTAATATATCTAAATCAACTTATGAAAGTTTGTCATTCAAGGCTTGCCTTGATCCCCAGTTGTCAGTCGTCAGTCCTATCCTTGCTCCTTGATCTTCTGTTCTGAGTCCTTGGTCCTCTGTCCTCTGTACTGTGTCCTCTGTCCTGGGTGGGTCCTCTATCCTGGATCGTTCTGGGTCCACGGTCCTTGATCATGTGATCTATGTCTCTAACAACTTGCCTACAAATCCAAAATGTAACTAGTAAGTATTTTGTACGTGACTTTTGCTAAACTTGCATAAAAACAATGTGCAAATAGTTCTTTTCTCTTAAAAGTTTGCTTCACAGTCTTAAGAATCTCACAACCTCCTAAAGGATTACCCAAACATTTCTACCCCACCAATACAAACTAATTCTTAAGCAATCAATCAATGTTTTTGCAGCAGAATGTTAGCCTTGAGACTGCAGACAATGTTGTTCTTTGTTGGGATAAATGATTCTGAACCAGACATTAACTCTGAAGTTAGAGGCAAGAAATTCTGAATCATTCAAAGGAATAATATTGACGCAGGAATAAATGAGCTTGAAATGAGAAACTTAAAATCCTCTGAACTGGGGGACATCTCAATGAAATGAAGACTCTTCTCTGCTCATTACTCTCCTTATTATGACACAAAATTTAAATAGTTTGCATATACATTACTTGCAAAAAATTTCACACAACATTAATTTCGTTACAAGTTTGCATTGCTTATTCTGTACAGTGTATCCTGAATTGCTAAACAACAGAAAAGCCACTTATTTTATTTTGTTACTCAAGCGTATTTAACATTTGCATACAGGTTCAATACAGCAGAAACCACCCATCATTGTACAAAGAATTTGGTTGAAATCTCATGAAATCATTCAGAAATCATGCTCACTGTAAACTGCAATTAGAAGCATGGCCTGAGGCTGAGCATGGATCATGTTTTATTCTGAGTATGGACCACGACTTTCACTTTTATTTGTTTTTTTTTTTTTGTTATTTTGTTGATGAGCAGACCTGTGCTCCCACTTGGCCAGACTTTGAATCATGCAACTTTTACTTACTCACCAAGAGCTATGGAATCATCAAACCATTATTAACAAATTTAACCATTTTTCTGCTCTTTATTTGGTGGAAATATATTTCTTTCAATTGGTGTCATTCAAGAGTTCAGGGTACTGAATAGTCAGTTGCAAACAGAAACTTGTCTCTAGAGACATGCAAAATCATTAGGTGAGCTTGCTTGATAAGATCATGCTGAAGGCTGCAGTTATCAGTGCAACTGTACTTTTATGGATTGAACAATTTTCTTTTTTCAACACACTGTGCAGTGTAGATCACAATTAACAAACTATGGATTTTTTCACTGTCATGTAAAAACAATAAATCAAAAACCATTCCGTGAATTAAGTCCAGAAAATGCAATCTTATAGAAGATGAATAAAGATGAAACTCTCCAAGTTTTAGGTCTTTGGAAGGCCAAACTTCAGATATCTTTGTCGAAATGTTTTGCATTTACAGAGTCTAGTACTGAACTGCCATATTGGTGCACCTCCATAGACGGTGGCTGGAAAATAGTGTAACCTTATGAAACTTACTTTGGTTATCTAGGCTACTGATTATCTGCACTAAACAAACGTATATTTACGAAATAAACACTTTTCCTACTACTTTTACTTTACAAATGGTTCAAAATCAAGGGATAAGTAATATATATTTTTCATGATCAGAACTCTATGTTATGCACCTCCATATGTCTCTGAAATTCAAAATTAATGCACGTTTAATAAACGGTATGCAATGCATGCAGAAGCAATGACGTTTAAAAATTGTTCCTAGAAGATTGGAACATAAGCAGACAAACTGATTCTTAAACTTAATTGTAGAACTTTTGTTTTAAAAATTTTAGGGGTTTACATTTAGGGTAGTCCATTGGTAGTTCATTCAAGTAGTTCATGAACACCAGGTCCATCATGTTAGTCCATGTGTTAGGGGTCAGCGAAATGTACCAACCCAAAAGAAAGATTAGTAACTAAATTTTCCAATACATAATAAAGAAATTTCTGTTACAGTGTATTATCCACACCCAAATCTTAGTTTAAAAGCTGAAACAAAAAGCACTCAGCTGATCCTACAAACAGCAAAGGAAAGCATCAAAGGAAAAGTTCCTCTTTCTGAAATCAACTCCTTATTATTGTTCAAGATATCTGGCAAAGCTAATTACCTCACCAGAAATTAATTTGCTGTTTTAATCATATGCTTGTCTTATTGCGCATGCGACCCGCTTGTCAATCTAAAATTGTGTGTATTGAAGATATGTTATTATGAGTTCGCCCGCAAATTTATCCAACACTGTATAAACCAAAATCAACCCCCAAATCGTTGTTTAAAAGCTGAAATTAAAAGCACTCCACTGATCCTACAAACAGCAAAGGAAATTCGCAAAGTACAAGTTTCTCTCTCTGAAATCGATACCTTATTATCTTTAAAGATATCTGGCAACACTAATTACCTCACTGAAAATTAATTTGTTGTTTTAACTGTATACTTGTCATGAATGAACTTTTGTATTGGCTTTACCCTGACAAAATGATTATCGATTGTTTAATCACAACCACACTTTCGTTGACAGAAAATATAAAACAGCACATTGCCAAAACTTCATAAAAAACTGAAAACTGCAAATGAATTGTACCCTAACTTTATTATCACTACTGTAAACTGTATATTTCAGCGCACATACAATGCTCATACAGTGCTCTCACAGTGCTCATTTAATTCAGACAATGCTCATTCAATTCACTTCAAGACTGGCAAAAGTACAACTGCGCTACCAATCCGTAAATTTTTTGTAGACCCTTCAGCTATCACATGTGCAACTTGCTTGTCTATCTAAATTTGTATGTATGGAGGATATGTTCTTATTATGAGTTTGCCAGTGAGTGCAAATTTATCCGACACTGTATACACCAAAATGAACACCCAAATCTTCGTTTAAAAGCTGAAATTAAAAGCACTCCGCTGATCCTACAAACAGCAAAGGAAAGCCGCAAAGGAAAGCTGCAAAGGAAAAGTTACTCTCTCTGAAATTGACACCTTATTATCTTTAAAAATATTTGCCAACACTAATTACCTCACCGGAAATTCATTTGTTGTTTTAACTGTATACTTGTCATATCGATTAAAAGCACTCCACTGATCTTACAAACAGCAGAGCAAAGCCGCAGAGCCTTCACCTATCACCTGTGCAACTTACTTGTCTATCAAAACTTGTATGTGTGGAGGATATGTTCTTATTATGAGTTTGCCTGTGAATGCAAATTTATCTGATACTGTATAAACCAAAATCCAACCCTAAATTTTCTTTTAAAAGCTATAATTAAAAGCACTCCACTGAACCTAATTGTCTCATTTACTAATTCCCAGAGTGCATTTTGCTTCCACAGAGGGATAAATCGTGCGCAACATAAGCGTGACGGACATAAGCGCGATGAAATAAGTGAGAAACAGCCGACCTTTGTGATATAAATGATACCGTGCAATCAGGCGTCCTTATCGCCTGAAGAAGACTAGCAGTAAGCAGTCGAAATGTCATGATCTACATTTCAAGTGACTACATCGTGAGACAAACGATAATACACTTTATTAAGTCAGGTGTAATTTGCTATCAAGATCATCTTGTACAGAAACCTGCTGAAAGACCTGAGTACTGCAGGTATTAAGACGCCATATGTATAGTCATTACAGTTAAAATATTGATCATCACACAAAGAACCTGCTTGAAATCTCTTGAAGGTGGACCTGTGCTCCTTAACTTGGCTGACTCCTTGCCAAAATTCAAATCCCACAGCTTTTGATTTGTACTCACCAAGAGCTCTAAAATTATTGACCCATTGCAAATTTTAACTTTGTTCTGCTCTTTATTTGGTATGAAATATAAACCATGTGGTTTAAGTTTTGCGCTTCTGGTTAAATGCTTTACATTTGTGATATTATTATTATTATTATTATTATTATTATTATTATTATTATTATCATTATTATCATTATTTTTGCCAGTCATTCATTTTTAATGATTTGTCCTAAGTGTAGATAGTGTACCCCTACTATTTCCCCCTGCCCTGCTTTATAGTTTCAACCCATGCTCGTGAGAATTTGGCTGCAAAGTACATGCACATAATTATGTGTGACAGTCTACAACATCTAGGGGGGGGGGGGGGGGGGGGGGGTGCAGTCCCCCCAAAATTTTGGGCAAGCCAGCTTTTTAGGGGCAACAAGAAACATTTGGGCAAAGGGCTTTTAAAACATTTCTATTTCTTTCGAGAAATTACAATGCAACTAAAAAACTGAGAATAATTATACTGGTAANGGGGGGGGGGGAGGGGCTTACAGTTTTTCATAAATAGATTGCCTGTGAAGAAATTGAAGTTGTTGACTGGGGTATGATATGAAGTATGTTAAACATCTTATGAGTATCATGTTTGAAAAAAGAGAACAAACAAAATCAATTGAAGTCTACCAATCATAACCCACAGACATGATCTTTTGAACCCAATGAAGTAAACTTTTCTTCCCTGAGAAGTCCACTAAAATGATTGACAGCAGTAAAACACAAAACCCTTGATTGAGCAGAGTTTGTGTGTTAATGAAAGGCACAGTAACATGGGATATAACATGTTTCAATTTCGGTCAAAAAAGTGTCCTGGTACCAATTATGCAATAAGTTTTTCAAGTTTTGATGCAGTGCTTAATATGCAAGGTAAAAGGTTAAGTCTGCAAACGAGCCAAGTGGCCAATCAGGTCGGAGCTTATCCCAGTTTATGTAGCATGAAGTGATTAGAAGAATTTCTACTCCCCCCTGGATGGGATGCTAGTCCATCGCGAAGTTACTCCCAGTATTAAGTTCTCCAGTACCCATTTATACACATGAGTGGACAGTCAGGCACTGTGAAAGTAAAGTGTTTTGCCCAAGAGCACAACACAATGTCCCTTGCCATGGCTCGAATACAGATCGCTTGATCAGGAGATGAGCACACTAACCATGAGGCTACTGCATCTCCCACTTAACATGCAAGGTCACCGCACTTAAATTTGAGGGTGCAACCAATGAACTCCTTATCAAGAAATGTTTTTAAATAAAACATAGCATGTAACTCTTATTTGTTATCCTGAAATTGCCATATTAGACTACAGTTGCTGCGTACAGAGTATTAATTATATAATGCTATTTACACTGTCTCATGTAGTAGGTGGCACTTTTGAGTAAACAATGGGTAGTGGTTATCCTTTTACTTTTTTTGTACTTATTGCAGTGTGTACCATTACTGAGCTACAGAACAGTGTACATCTACATGTAGTAACATCATTCATAGACAAGTAGATTCAAATAAGAATAAGACTAACCAAGCCATAACAAAGAAGCCATGTCTTACCTCACAATGGAGTCCATAGGCTAGGTACTAACTGTATGTGATTAATAATTTCCCTCTCAGCCTTTATTACCATTCAACTAATTTTGTTGTTGCTTGACTGTACTTTTCCAACCTTCAAGTAGGAAGAAAAAGAAAATGTGATTGATAGAAAAGCCTTGCTCTCATAGACTACACTTGAGGACACTAACTCTAACCTTCCATACACCAGGCCCTGTCCTACCCCTCTGCAGAACCTTCAATGCAGGTTTATAAATTCATCAGTCTGGTAAACTAGAGTGGTTACAATTTCACCAATTGTTGTAGCTGTTAAAGCTTGTAGTAGCCATGTGCTGCATATAATAAATCAAGTCCTACAATCGACCTTTATTTTGGCAAATAAAGGCCATTAAAATTAAAATCTTTACTGGCTGGTTAATTAAGAACAGCTTCGCCTAAATATCAACTAGACTTGGAAAGAGCGAAAAAATCAAATTTTTTCATTTCGACGCCCCAGATAGGCCTAAATCGATCAAAAATGAGCGGCATATTCAGAGGCTCGTAAACTCAAAAGTAAAAATCTTCATTACAAACTGATTGCACGTCATATTTGTACTTCCTTTCTTGTATATTTAGAGCTAAATAGATTGTGATTTAATTGGAACTAAAATATGATGCATTTTCTAAATTAACGACCCAAGACAGCTTTACAAGAGGTTTACATTTAGCCTATTTTCAAATGCTAAAAAGGCGTTCTGGTACACGGCTTTTCCCAAAATGACTAGTTTGGTCTGAAAGAGCATTGTTTCGTCTTCAAATTAGTGAAATAAAATTTTGGGTAAATAAAATCACAAGCGCTGAGATAGTGAACTAAATGCAGCACTTCTTCCTGAAAACGTCACCTTTGACCTAAGTGCAACGAAACCAATTACTGCAAGAAAACCCGGAAGAAAAGCAAACACTTCGTTATTTTGAAACATTTTCTAGTGATATCTCTCCAAAACCATTATTGTAAGAAACTATTTCCAGATATGAAATCCCACAGGGTCAACGAAGGAGCTAAAGGGCGCATTTTGACACAATATTTTTGTTTGCTGAGAACTGAAGTCAATGACCATTAACGAATTCCACTGAAATTTGCAAACTTGAAGTATGTTAGCCAATACTTACCTGAATATTTATATTTATAAAAGAATCGTCTTCTTGGATTAACCTTCAAAAGAAGCTGGACCCAGATTTGGAAACCTCTAAAAGAAGAAATGGTTAATGTTCCGTGACCTACCCGCTGCTATAAATTCCATGCACATGCTGACCACATGTTTGTCGTAAAACTAACGGAACTCCACTGACAATTTCCATGGGCAACGCTAAAATAACCAATCCCCAAAAATGTAAAGTGAAACTGGCTGTCTTCATGAACAGTTAGAGGCTAGAGTCAAGTTCCATTACCTTTTAAAAGAGCTTGATTTTACTTTGTTCACTCAGTAGTTACTGTCACGTTCGAATACTGCGTAGTATCAGTCACGCCAAAACACTGGAGACCGTGCAGACTGAGTAAGTTTCCCATACAAAGTCTTGTACGCGTTTGTCTATTGAATCAAA